AGGGACGAACAATGTTTGCATAATATTTTTAATTAAAAATTCTGAAAAACTAACTTGTTTTTGAGTATAATAGAGGTACATAAGACTCCCAATTAAAGTTGTTCCCAATGCCAGGAATCCAAACCGAAGATAATGGTATAAGGGTGGGAATGCTTAAGGGCTGGTCAGGCCAAGTTATTTATTAACACATTATTTAAAACCAAGGTGAATCGAATTCCGATTTCCGAAAATTTCGGCAGATTTCCGAGTTCCGACTTTTGAGCCATTACCGATTTCTGTTAGTCCGACTTCCGGCACCTTCGTCAATCCTTTTAAATGTATATGAAAGGAGAGGGATTGAAGACAATATGAAAATGTATATGACGGATATAGGTAAACTATAAGGGACAAACTACAGCTTACTTCTGGTTAAGATTTTCAATTAAAAAATTTCTTTTAAAATTTCCTGCAAATTTTCAAGTCTGCCCCAATATTCAAACCGTGCCCAATTCTATAGTTCTTTATTTCCTGCATCATCAGAGCCATATTTATACGAACATGTAAATGCTTTAGAAACACTTGTTAGATTAACTGAGGATAAAGAGTTTGAGGGAATTAGTGGAAAATATTTTGATGCCAATGGTAAAGAATTAAAGCTCGGTGCTTCTGTTTGTGATGTAAGGGTACAAGTAAGCACTTAGTAAAAGAATTAAAATTCACACAAAATTTTATTTTGATATTTAATGTCTGTCTAGTTTTGGGAGACTGACTTAATAAAATCCAATAAGTTAGAGCTGTCAAAAACTTTTAATCCTGGGTCGATTAAAGCTCTACTTCTATCTTTTCGGTCTATGTTTTGAGATGCATTCTTTTTCATGAATCATGGAAAGTTTTTGGTCTTGGATAGCTCTAACATAGATTATCATGCCGATACCTGATATAATATACTTGATATACTGACCATACCATATGCCTGATCCACTAATGAAAATAACGGATTGGGGTTTCTGACGGCAGGATCACTGATTTATAATTATAGTATAATTAGTGAATGATGAAATTAAAGAAAAATTTCTACTAATTGCCAGACGATTTAATAAATTTAAAATTTCCTTTACTAAAAACATAGCCAATTTAATCATTAAAATTATATATTAAGGACCAACTTTGGAGTGAATCTGTTGGTATTTGTGAGAAAATACTTGGAATAACTCGACGCACTTGATCATTTCGAATTTTATTTGCAATCGAAACAATTTAATTAAAAAATTTTCAGATCTCTTTAATTAAAAAACTGTAATTATAAATAAATGTAATTATAAATTTGGATGGATATAGGTTATAAATTGGGATAAGAGAGGACATGAAGGATGCCCTTCTATAAAAATAAATGCGATAATATGTACATACTATAAGCAATAACATAACTCAAAATGTAACAAATATAAATTTATTTTGGGCAAAAATTGTCTAGAGTATTCTGTAAATTTTAAATATCTAATATATGTAATAACCCGTCAACTTGAATAAAAAACAACAAAAAATTTTCAATAATTTCTGTTAATAACTTCTTTCATTAAAATCCCCATATGTTTAATATTTCTTTCCTTAATTATCCTTTCAATTTCATTTTCAATTTGTTCATTTGTCCAAATAAAAGTATTTTTATATGGCCATTCTTTAAAGGCAATCATTGGATTTGAACAGTTTTCTCTTTGATTTTCAATTTTTTGAAAAGAAAATGGAGAATTCCAACCGGCAAAAGTTTGTCGATTTAAACGACTTTAAAAATTTTGAAGGGAAAATTTTAGGAGGAAATTTAGGAATTTACCGACTCTGCCATCCATGAATTAAAAAATCCCTTGATGACCAACAATTGCCAGTTAACCAGCCATCTAATAATATTAATTAATTATTTCAATTCGTAAATATGCATTTATATCGATATATTGAGGGTTTGGATAACATGGCATAAGAGCCCAATTTGAATTTGGAAGGAGGCTTTTTGGACAGGTTTAATTTTGGAAGGTTCTTAGGAGATAGTACCATTCCTTGTATAATTTTTTATCAAAAATAGACGTTCTGGAAGTTACTGCTAGGCTCCAATGCTTAAACAATTTATATTTCAGCAAGTTTTAGAGTCACTTTCCTTACTTGAACTCAATAGGCCCTCCGATAATGCCAGACATAATTAAGGCAAAACAAACTCCATTATTTTTTATATCCCATTATCCTTTATATTATTACCCTGGAGATAACAGACAAGACACACAACATCAATCACCTTCCAGTACTTGTCTGTTATCTCTCCCCATTTTTCTTCCATCCTTGGGAAACCCCATCTCCCCATTTTTCTTCCATCCTTGGGAAAAAGATAGCGCTCATTGAGAGCTTTCGTATTATAGGACACTTATAATTATAACTTATAATTATTAGATATGGTTGTCCTCAAAGTTATTCTCCCTACTATTTTGTAAATTTTAATTATTTTAGACCAATGGGATTATTCAGTCGATTGGAATGAAGCTTAATGAAGTTGATCAAGATTTTGGACAAAAAATTCAAGGCCTTGATCAAGCTATGCGTAAGACGGATAATAAATCTAATGATTTGGAAGACAAAATTGCGAAGGTATTAAAATGAATATTGAAAATGGAATATAACCAAGCCTTGATTTTATTTGTACTCTTGAGGATGAAAAATTATACATAAGTGATACATTTAGGGTCACCCGGGTAGCGGCAGCACCGACTTTATCCTAAGCAGCCTTACCCCTTGAATTGTTTGTACGGGCCCGGGAGAGGATAGGATTTATAGTAAATCTCAATAAATTGAAGACAGAGTTAATTTATTTTTTGCAATTGATTTTTAAACTTTTCTACACTGCGGTGCATATGTTTATGCACACTTGTTTTTTGTTCATAAGTTTATGCACACTTATTCAAAAAATACATTCTATAAAGCAATCGAAAGCTCTATTTGTATCTCAGTTGACTTGTTTCTGCATTTTCCATGAAAATGAAAATTGGCCGAGATAATCCGGATCTACCGGATATACCAAATCCCATATCCTCGGAAAAATTTTTCGGAAAAAATTTAACAAGCCCATTTGATAAAGCATATTTTTGTGAGTATTTATCACAAAACCGCTTAGAAATATCTTTTTTCGGTCCAGAGATATGACTTTTTGAAAATCGAAAAAACGCGATTTTTTGACGAAAAATGGCAAAAATATGGTGTTTTTTCGATTTTCAAAAATTCATAACTCGGTCGAATCTCGACCGATTTGGATGATTTTTTTGTATTGTATGTAGAATCTGGAGATGAATCACATATATTTTTTACAGACTTCAAAAAATTATTTGAATACTTCAAAATTACTGTCGAAAAAATAAACGCTAATATTAGAGAGTAATTATCGAAAGTTCGTATGTACTGTTTCGTATAATACCGCGAAATACCTTAGTCCAATCCCTCTTAGAGAGTGAATTTACTCGAGGGAGGGTAATTAGTTGAGCATTACGTATCGTAACTTGAGATATATTAGAGTTTGCATTACATAACATCAAAGCTTGGCTTTAAATACTTTATTATAATAATTACAGTTTGATATAAATGAATCAGATCAATTAAATAAAATTGAGAAATTTGGAAAGACTCTTCAAAATTTGATTGACGAGAAAGCTAAAGAGAAAGTGATTAATTTATTTAAATTAATTTTTTGAATTTTATTTTAGGAGGAAAAGAAACTTCAACATTTACAACTCTTAAGTATTCAAACTGATTTGAATAAGAAAATCGGTGATCTTAGAAATGAATTTTTCAATTTACACCATGATCAAGTTGAAAAAATTAAAAAGGTATTTTCGATGGATGAAAGGATCAAACAAAATCCCGGAAAGTCTGGCAGAGTTCTCTCAATAATTAGTTAAAAGTTTATCACACGAACATACCGGGACCTGTATTTCATTGTTTTTCTAGTACTCATTCAATGCCAGTACTTTCCGGTAGTACTGGTATTGGTATTGAAAAAATCCATTTGCCGAACACTAGTCTAGTATAATACTACATATCCTTAATATGATGATTGAAAAAATAAGTATTGGGTCTGTGTACTAAATCCAATTTTCGGTTATTTAATTAAAAAACGGGTTGTTTAAACCGTCGTATATCCTGAACAATTATCTTAACTAGAGTACAGTAAATAAGTCTGAAATTTAACAACCTAAATAAAAAATTATTTAATTTTATTAAAGGTAGATGATTCGAATGTTGCAATTAAAAATTTGGTTGACTCCATAAAAGTTGACTTAAAATTTTTAAATAGTTCAACATTTAAAAAAGGGGTTAGTTAATTTATTTAAAATTACAAAAGAATATTTTTAGTCTTTTGTAAATATTGATAACGAATGGAAAGTTACTACTAAATATCCATGTTGTGGGACTAAATGTGTAAATACTGAGTCTCCTTATGGTACTTGTAAGTCAAGAAATGGATTTATTCAATTGACTACTGATGGGACTATTAGATATATTAAATGTGCTGAAGGAAAGGGTAGGGTTTTTCTTTGAGAGTTATTCCATTATATGCTCGAATAATTAGCCTCTCTCAAAATATACCATACAACAAAGAGTGAAACAATGATTAGCACTTTAGAATAGTTATAATTAGCCTTTAGAATAATTTAAATGACTAATTATAATAGTTTGAGGGGTCCTTCCAAACCCACGAAAGTTTCGAGCAAAATCTAATCGAGAGATCAAGCCGACACTTAAATTAATCGGGATTGAGTGTTTTAAGCATGGTATAGTGAGAAACATAAAAAAATTGAGTGGAATTATAATCTCTTAATAGTCGGGGATCTGTAGAAACTTAAGGAATCTGGTCGTAATAACGGCAGTGATCTGGTACATCCAAGACGCGGCACTTTTAGGCTTATTTCCTTCAAAATTTAATCATTTTTAATTCTTAAAAAAATATTTTAGTTAACAAATTTCCATTGATAACGGCTGCAAATCAGTTTAAAAAGCCTGTGAATTGTAATGTTTTCTCGTTATTTTACTTTGAACTCAAACTTAATTTGGAAGAAGGGATTACTTCCGATCAGAAATCTTTGGCATTTGGTCTTGTCAATAACAGCGATACAATCAAAATGTGGCCACTTAGTAGCATTATTCACTACCAAATCCAAGGAGAGAATATTCCTCAAAGTTTCACACTTGAAAATTTCACTTGGAGTGATGACGATGTTGTTGGTTGTTGTGTTGTTTATCCAGCTTCAAGGCTTGAGAATAAAATGCCATACGCTTTCTACACTCAAAATGGAAAGCAAATTTGTAAGGAATTGAGTAAAATAATCTATTTGGGGTTAACTAAATTCTATGGGAATTTGGGGACCATTAAACTACAAAGGTATGTTAGGTAAAGGTAGCTATGGTTGGGAAGGAACTAATTTTTAATTGTATTTCAATATCTCGCATAACGGGATGGTAATCAGAGAGGCATTAATTCTAATTTTTAAATTTGTAAGTTCTTGAGGCATTAGAGAGAAAATTTGAACGTGTGGTAGGTACTACAGTAGGAAGAGGACTATTTTTTCAACTTTAATTAGAGGGTTTACTATCCCTTCCTTATTTGAAGGGGGGATTTATCGAGCAAATTGGTATTATCGGAATTTTAATTTTTCTATTGAAAAAATATTTAATTTTTTTATAGGTAAGGCAATTGTGTTGGAAGGAAATAATGATTATTACCAGCCGTTTGTACAAATTTCGGGATATTCTGTTGAAACTAACTTTGGACAGGACTTGGACGCTAAGCCTTTTAGCTATGATATTTCAAAGCATTTGGTGGCTGAAGAATTTTATGAATTTTATTAAAAATATTCAATTTGATAACTAAATTTTATACTCAAAAATTATTTTTTAAAATCATTTTATAAAAAATTTTGTCTGGAGTCTTTTTAATTCATAGTGTGGTTAGTTCCAGGACCTCCTAGGAAACTTCAGGTAACGGGAATGCCGGTGAATAGCATTTCGGAGATCTGCGTCGGGTAATGGATAAAAATCATCGTCAGGCAGGAAGGTGACTCGTAGGAATCCGTGGGTCTTGACCAACCCAAATTTTAGGTATTGAGTCTTAATTTCATGGATTTTTCATCTTGAAAATATATTGGTTGTGAATCTTCGAACTATTACAATCTCATACTATTTTACATAGGTTGGCGGATCAATATCCGGTTCCAAAATAGAGCTGCAAACCTTGAAGTTTTCATATCGTATGCGAATATTCATAATTTTCGAGGATCCGCCAACCCCAAATTTGCTTAATTTCTAAGATGGTCAAAAATTTTAAAATAAACGTTAAATAAAGAAGCGAGAAGCTTTTCACTTCCATTAGTCCATTTATCTAATCCCCTTTCTATTATTTACTAGCTGGCTGTTCCTTTCACTCTAACAAAACACACATAAAACGGAAAGTGTTTCCAGCTTGTTTTTACGTCAATTCTTTCTATAAGCTAGGCAAAATCCATCAATAAAGACATTTTAAAACAACTATATTTTAAACGTTTTTGTTTTAAATCAAGTTTCAGTTTTTTTTAATAATATATTTGACACACTTTTAAATAATTTAACCTAGTTTAACTGATTGTATCGAAGTAACTACCAAAATTCACTTTTTTTGCTTCATAAAAATCCTATACTTTTTCTCTCATATGACATGAAGGGCTGAATCGTAAACATATATATTAGAGTTCAACACGAATATATCCCTTTCGTGATTTTACGAGAGCCCGTCCTGTTAACGCGATTTATTGGATTAATCCCACGGAATCTTTATCGTTCGATTTTACAAAATTCATTCCTGTTATTTATCTCAGGGATGTGGTTTTATCGGCCTATCCTATGTATATTAATGACAATTTTACAAAATTAGAAAGTCCCACAGATTCAAATTGTTTTGTATCTAGTTTTGTACTTAGAGCTTATATTTAGCATTTAAAAAAGTAAAGACATTTTAAATTAGGTAAATGAGGGCAGTCTATTTAATTGAGTAAATTATTTAATTTGTATCTAAAATTAAAATTGCTTTTAAAAAAATTAAATGTCCATCAATTAAATTTATTCAAGAAAAATTAAAAAAAATTTTGTATATAAATTAATCCTCTCCAAACGAGCTTCGTAAAATATAATGTAAATTACTTAAAAAATAAAATTGTAAATATCAGAATAGCATCTAAATATTATTATAACTACAATGTCCTCTAATTTAAATAATGAAGGATTAAAGTAGGTTTTTTAAATCTGTTTTGATTAGATTCTGACCCGCATGTCACTTCTCGTTACAAGTTTCTATTCTCTATGAAATTAGAAGGCAAGTATAAGGAGGTTCTTAGGTGGGGGTTCATAATGGGAGTGGGTTTCTAAGGAGGTTTTTCGCGAGATTCAATATCCACGTTTCTATTGGGATTGTCATAATGGTTCGACTCTGACCGAAGAAGCTTATAAGGTGTAGGCATAAGAGGGTTCTTTCTCTATATTTGAGTAGGGTAGTCAAATAGACCGAAGGATCTAATAAAGCATAGCGAATGTTAATATCGAAAAATCTCAACTCACTTTAAATATTCCGATATCTGTTGATATTATTCAATAAATTCTGTAGTTTCAAGCGTTGGATACTCATAACTGGTTCAACAGACGGGTTTGGCCGCCAATTAGCACAAGAATTGGCAGCTAATATTTATGAAAATTTTGTTATTATTCATGGGAGGAGTGAAAAAAATTGTCAAAAAACTGTTGAGGAATTGGGAATGGAACATGAAAATGTTGGGAATAATCGGAAACAAAGGAATGTTGATTTTGTAGCTGCTGATTTTTCGAAACTATCTGAGGTAGTCTAAGTTGGAGCAAAGTGGTGGGGGGAGGGGAACTCCTCATACCACGGGTAAACTTAAATCAATTACATGTTCTATTTTTCTAAAGATAGCCTTATTAATAAGATAAAGATAAATTAGTTTATAAACTAAACATTAAGTTTCTCAGTTAACTTGATAAATTCTTTAATTAATTTAAGGTTTTAAAAATGTCAGAAGTTGTTCGGTTAAGATTTCCACGACTAAATACATTAATTGCTTGTGCATCTGTTGTTGTTCAGCGAAGAATAAAATCTCATGATGGACTTGAACTTACTTTACAAGTGAGGCTTCATATATTTTTCCGAAACTATAAAATTCAAAAATTTTTCTCAAAATTTTTCATTAAAAAGAGGTGAAAGCAAGGCTTCACCTCTATTTTAATAGACTAGGACTTTCACACTCGTACTTGATGAGCTAAAATAAAATCTCATGATAATAACTGCCATGAGGCCTTCTTCGGACTGTTTACCTCTCTCTTATAAATAATTTTTTAAGATCAACCACCTTTCTCACATTGTTTTGTTCACTGAATTACTACCATTGCTTGAGCTAAATTCTCCATCAAGGATTTTAACCGTTGGTTCTATGTTGCATAACTTGTATGTTTTTATTAGAGATCGAAGATCTCATATTTCCGGGTCTTGTATCCGGGTTCTCTTTTCTTTTAACTGACCAGAGCCAAATTAAATCCTCTAAACTATGAAAAAACTATACTTTAGCAAACTTCGAATGTCCCATTCCGTTCTAATTGTAGTTCTTATGTTTTTTGGAATTTTTTTGGACCATTTGGATTTTTGATTTTTAAATTTATTTTAGTAGTAGTTCAATAAATTGGAATGATATTAACTCTGAAGGATGCAAATATGATAAATTTACGCAATATTCACTTACTAAATTAATGAATCATTTAGCTACATTGTACATACACAGATTAATGTTTAAACATAAAAAACAATTCCAAGTTACTGCAAATGTTGTGGATGCAGAAAAAAGAGTTGAGAAGGAGGGACGAACAATGTTTGCATAATATTTTTAATTAAAAATTCTGAAAAACTAACTTGTTTTTGAGTATAATAGAGGTACATAAGACTCCCAATTAAAGTTGTTCCCAATGCCAGGAATCCAAACCGAAGATAATGGTATAAGGGTGGGAATGCTTAAGGGCTGGTCAGGCCAAGTTATTTATTAACACATTATTTAAAACCAAGGTGAATCGAATTCCGATTTCCGAAAATTTCGGCAGATTTCCGAGTTCCGACTTTTGAGCCATTACCGATTTCTGTTAGTCCGACTTCCGGCACCTTCGTCAATCCTTTTAAATGTATATGAAAGGAGAGGGATTGAAGACAATATGAAAATGTATATGACGGATATAGGTAAACTATAAGGGACAAACTACAGCTTACTTCTGGTTAAGATTTTCAATTAAAAAATTTCTTTTAAAATTTCCTGCAAATTTTCAAGTCTGCCCCAATATTCAAACCGTGCCCAATTCTATAGTTCTTTATTTCCTGCATCATCAGAGCCATATTTATACGAACATGTAAATGCTTTAGAAACACTTGTTAGATTAACTGAGGATAAAGAGTTTGAGGGAATTAGTGGAAAATATTTTGATGCCAATGGTAAAGAATTAAAGCTCGGTGCTTCTGTTTGTGATGTAAGGGTACAAGTAAGCACTTAGTAAAAGAATTAAAATTCACACAAAATTTTATTTTGATATTTAATGTCTGTCTAGTTTTGGGAGACTGACTTAATAAAATCCAATAAGTTAGAGCTGTCAAAAACTTTTAATCCTGGGTCGATTAAAGCTCTACTTCTATCTTTTCGGTCTATGTTTTGAGATGCATTCTTTTTCATGAATCATGGAAAGTTTTTGGTCTTGGATAGCTCTAACATAGATTATCATGCCGATACCTGATATAATATACTTGATATACTGACCATACCATATGCCTGATCCACTAATGAAAATAACGGATTGGGGTTTCTGACGGCAGGATCACTGATTTATAATTATAGTATAATTAGTGAATGATGAAATTAAAGAAAAATTTCTACTAATTGCCAGACGATTTAATAAATTTAAAATTTCCTTTACTAAAAACATAGCCAATTTAATCATTAAAATTATATATTAAGGACCAACTTTGGAGTGAATCTGTTGGTATTTGTGAGAAAATACTTGGAATAACTCGACGCACTTGATCATTTCGAATTTTATTTGCAATCGAAACAATTTAATTAAAAAATTTTCAGATCTCTTTAATTAAAAAACTGTAATTATAAATAAATGTAATTATAAATTTGGATGGATATAGGTTATAAATTGGGATAAGAGAGGACATGAAGGATGCCCTTCTATAAAAATAAATGCGATAATATGTACATACTATAAGCAATAACATAACTCAAAATGTAACAAATATAAATTTATTTTGGGCAAAAATTGTCTAGAGTATTCTGTAAATTTTAAATATCTAATATATGTAATAACCCGTCAACTTGAATAAAAAACAACAAAAAATTTTCAATAATTTCTGTTAATAACTTCTTTCATTAAAATCCCCATATGTTTAATATTTCTTTCCTTAATTATCCTTTCAATTTCATTTTCAATTTGTTCATTTGTCCAAATAAAAGTATTTTTATATGGCCATTCTTTAAAGGCAATCATTGGATTTGAACAGTTTTCTCTTTGATTTTCAATTTTTTGAAAAGAAAATGGAGAATTCCAACCGGCAAAAGTTTGTCGATTTAAACGACTTTAAAAATTTTGAAGGGAAAATTTTAGGAGGAAATTTAGGAATTTACCGACTCTGCCATCCATGAATTAAAAAATCCCTTGATGACCAACAATTGCCAGTTAACCAGCCATCTAATAATATTAATTAATTATTTCAATTCGTAAATATGCATTTATATCGATATATTGAGGGTTTGGATAACATGGCATAAGAGCCCAATTTGAATTTGGAAGGAGGCTTTTTGGACAGGTTTAATTTTGGAAGGTTCTTAGGAGATAGTACCATTCCTTGTATAATTTTTTATCAAAAATAGACGTTCTGGAAGTTACTGCTAGGCTCCAATGCTTAAACAATTTATATTTCAGCAAGTTTTAGAGTCACTTTCCTTACTTGAACTCAATAGGCCCTCCGATAATGCCAGACATAATTAAGGCAAAACAAACTCCATTATTTTTTATATCCCATTATCCTTTATATTATTACCCTGGAGATAACAGACAAGACACACAACATCAATCACCTTCCAGTACTTGTCTGTTATCTCTCCCCATTTTTCTTCCATCCTTGGGAAACCCCATCTCCCCATTTTTCTTCCATCCTTGGGAAAAAGATAGCGCTCATTGAGAGCTTTCGTATTATATAATATTCATTCGGATTTGATTAAGCATAAAAAAGTTATATCCTATCAAATTAAGATAAAAGGAAAATGGGAGGAGATAACAGACAAGTACCCAACTCCATATATTTAAAATCTTTCAACACCTTACCTAAATTTATTCAGCATATGCTCAAATTATTACTCTGGATAATTTAGGTACAGCATCCACTAGAGGGAGCAATTAATCAAGAGGAGATAAGTATTTTATAGAAGGAAATATCACAAAATCTCTAACCTCTTGCCCAATATTGCCTAAAATCAGTCATTAGAAGCACCTTTCCTGTACTATTTAATTTTGTTTCAGAAATTGAATTAGTAAATACATTTCTAGCTCCAAGTATATATTTGGCACATAAAGTAAAAGGCAATAGAGTATCAAAATCGAGAGAAACATTCCAGAGATGTGAACAAACCAGTCTTTTTTCAGAACAATTTTCATTTAAATGATCACAAAATAAATCGAGAAATACTGACTTAAATAATATTTTTTAATTGAGTTTAAGAAACTAAAATTAAGGTAAATTTGATAAAAATAAGTTTAGAATACAAGGAAATAATTTGTATGCAATTTCAGAATCATTTTTATGATGCCCATTAATTATTTTGATAATAACATGTTCGTTAAAATACAGGGTGCGTAGAAAGTCCTTGCCCACACTCTTTTTGGCATAAAAATTTTTTCAAATGGAATTTTGCCAAATAAATTCACACATACAATCAAAAGAATGCCTGTTACTAGAAAATTATAAAAGATTTTCAAAATTTTACCCATGTTCAGAAATACAAGCATCTAAACGCAACTGGAAATTGCCACTGATGGTCGCACACTCATCATCAATCTTTTGGTCCCAGATTTTTTGGTCCCAGATTTCTAAACTCTTTTTTATTTTCTAGTAATCTTTTGGTCCCAGATCTTTTGGTCCCAGATTTTTAAAATCTTTTTTATTTTCTAGTAACAGGCATTCTTTTGATTGTATGTGTGAATTTATTTGGCAAAATTCCATCTGATTAAATTTTTATGGATAAAATAGTGTGGGCAAGGACTTTTTACGCACCCTGTATGCCCCCTCCCCCACAATGAAATAGAGCCTCAACTGAAGGTGTAATTGAAAAATAGCTCGAGAACTTTTATGGTAATTTTATGATAACTTGTGCTTGGGTATCCGTATTAGACTGATATTGCTCGGGTATCAGTGTCTAGAGATAGATTCCCTACTTCAGGGAATGGAATTCCCCGACGAAGTCGAGGTCTCGCCTGTGCCTCGGTTCTCCCTCCGGGCAGTTCTACGTAAAATGATCCATGCCCCAATATCGAACCTCAGTTAAGTTAAACAACTGTAAATAAATTTTATACACAGTAGGTAATGAAGCTCTTTTATTTACTTATAATAAATTTTTCTCGAAAAAATTTAAATTAATGAACATACATGTATTGCCCCATTATCGGTTCCATGAAAACTATTAGGCACATTAAAATAATAATCAGCCCAATAATACAAAAATTCTCTAGTAAATTGAGTATTTTTTAAAATATAACTTCCAGCCATAATTTCCCCATTAAATATCCTTTCATAAAAAATTAGATCAAAATCTTTTTTTCCTTCCAAATATTCTTCTAGTGAATGATTTGGATTAATTACACCAATATCTGCATCCATAAAAAAGGCAAATTTAATATTCGTTGAGTGAGAAGAAAGAAAATTGGCAAGCATGCAATGACGGCGGAAGTAAAACTATTATTATGTAAAATTAGGCACCAGGAATCGGGAATTTTGTTTTTCTTGTCGGCATGATCCATGTTAAGCGCAGGTATGCATGAGTAATTATCCTCTATCAAATAATTACCCCCTCCTATTTGAGCTTATAAGGTAATTGTTTTGAATAGAAGGAAATTTTTTAAGAATAATTTGTTGTAATGTTAGGCTTAAAATTTGAATTCTGTTGAAGAAGAGTGGGGTTCAAAACTGTTATACATCTGAGATTTTTTCGTTTTTTTCCCGTTATTTACTTACATCTTTTTGTTTACAATTATCATTCTTCTCTTCCATTTCATAAGCATTAATAACTTCAAGGGGATATCCATTTAATTGACAATAACAATTTAATGTGCTTTGAGCAAGGTTGTAATTTGATAAAATTTTGGCATTATCGACAATAACAATTACCCAAATTTTTTCGAAATGATCTAAAATTATAAATATGTACAGGGTGGCCAAAAAGTATTTATGCCATAACTTTATTCAAATTAAAGCTTAAATAATAGAAAAATAGGAAACAAATATAATCAAAAATTTTCCAAGTACCCATCCTTCGCTTGGAAACAAAGTTGAAGGTGTTTGCCATCTTACTCCCTGTAAATCACTGTCCAGAATCGCTGATAACCGCAAATGCTCCGAGAAATATGGCTTTTTGGTCAAATTTACAAATGATCCGACCGGGCGGGCATTCTTTCGACCCTAAACCCGACCGAAAAAAATTTTGCAACACCGACCCGACTTTTTTCCCAGCCCAACCAATCCCTAGTTCGCATTATTTGGAGTGAGATTTTCTCAGTTTTATTTTCCTCACTTTGTTTGTGTCTGATATCAATAGTTTTGTAAACAGTTTTTGTATAATAATTTCCATATAAATTAACAACATATCCAACATTTGATTCTTCATAATAAATTAATAAAATAATTAAAATTAATGAGAAAATGAGTAAAATAAATAATTTTGGTATTCTTTTAATTAAAAGTTGAGGTCTTTTAATTAAATAAAATAAGAACATAAAATATAATTTTTGATTAATTAATTTTTTTAATTAAATAAAATATTTATTTTCCTTCATTTTCTCATTCAACATCTCAAAAATAAATATTTATTTTAAAAAATGTAGGAATATTTATTTTAAAAGGAAAAAAATTATCCATTTGTTTTTATTGATTAATAAATTATTGATAAAAACAATCAATTATCACATGAAAAAATAAATTTACTAAAGCTTAACTGGGCTAAAGCTGTATCCCTCCCATGTAAACCGACTCAATTCCTTTCTCTCCTTGCTATTATGTATAGGCTCCGTTATTAAGGTTACCGCTCGAATTGTCTCGAGAACGATTCGAGGCGATAAATTTCTGTTCGAAAAGGTCGGATTATATGGACTATCAATCGAAAAATACGGAATTAAATATGAATTAGAAACCAAGATACGGACTGAAAGATGAAAATTTGTAACATAAATGAAAATATAAGAATCCGGACTGAGATTTACTCAGTCATCTTATGTCTCATCTTGGCACAAGCATCTCAAATAAATTGGACTAATGTGTTATCCATTATGTACATCACGTCACCTCCTATTTAACCTTAGAAATTAATTAGCTTTTTAATAGTTTTGTCAATTTATAATTAACAGAAATAATTATTATTGTTATAGTTAACCTTGGAAAATATAGAATTAAAAAAGCGAAAATAAAAAGACTAGACATTTTTAACTAAAAATAAAAGAAAATTGATTGAGAAAATTTTTAGTTAGAGCTTTATTGTGGCGAGTTAAAAAGTAGGAAAAAGAGGAAATTGTAGATAGAGAGTAGTTGAGGGAATGAAAAATTCTGTTTGCTAACTTCACTTGATGAATGAATAAAAATCTATTTTTAAGTAAAAAAATGTTAAAAATGGTAAAAATTATTTTAAATTTAAAATATTAGAAAATAAGAACGATAAGTAAAACGTAGTAAATAGAAATAAAACTCTCTCTCTTCTTTTCTCAAACAATTTAATAAACAAATACAAAATAAAATACTTTTACTTTTCCTTTTTAAATAAATAACAAAACTAAATGAACGAACAAGTGAAAAAAATAGGGTTTACATTAAATAAGGAAAGGGAATAATTGGATGGGGTCAAAATATGGGGAGAGAACAAAAGAAAAACATGTGCTGTTTCCTTTTAGCATCACATCCCGCTCGCTTCAGATGACGGCGTCCTCGACGTCAGAATGAGTTCTTTTAGTTCGGTCTGTTTTCCGGAAAGGTCTTGGGTGGCGAGGTAGTTCTTTTCTTTTGATGCTCTTGGATGTTTCAGTGTCAAAATTGATCATAGGGTTCTCGAGACCGACTCGATTTATTAAACCCGATCTTCGATGAAATGTTTCCAAATGGACTCCAATGGTGAGAAATTCGGTCACCGATACCGATTCTACCAGTCCTGATTCTTGCTTTCTTTTTCTTTTTTTCCAATCTTTTTCAGTTCCAACATCTTTTGATTCACGAATTATATCTTGTTTTGTCACCGAGACAAATTTCAAGACTTTCATCGGCTTTAATTCAAACATTTGATTGTCCATTTCCTTCGGAAAGTTCTTAGAAAGTTGAGGGACACTGATCATCGTAATCAGTTTTTCCGAGTTCAAACACCCCCGAACTCCGTGAAAAAATCGTCCCATGATTTTTCTTTTCAAAAATCCACATTCAAAATCTTTTCCAAAATTATTCCTTACAATTTCGATTTCTTCATTGGCCGAATCTTGATTGATTGGCATCTCAAAAAATTCCAAAATTTCTTTCGAAAATTCTTCTTTTTCAAATTGAATGTTGACCCTATTTTTGAATGATGGAGTGGGAATATTTTGAGATTTGAAAATTTTCTCATGCTCTTTTAAATTTTTCTTTTGCTGAGGGGAATGGGTTTGCTTTTTAACTAAATCGATTGGTTCCTCAACTTTGTACTCAGGTGGAAGGAGCTGACAAAGGATGAAATTCTTAATCGATTTATAGTTGTAGTGTTTGGACTTGATTGCAAGTATGAAGTAACTTCTTGCTTTGCCATCCAACTTGGATTTGAGAGCAAAAATTTTCTTTTTCTCTGGCCAGTCTTGTAGAGCAAGATCAAATTTTTTGAAGAATTTCTTAATTTCAAAACTTCCTTCGGTTCCATCCAAATCTGGAATCGTTTCTAGCAGAAGTTTTTCAATATCTGCTTGTGAAGTGTTTTCGAAGAAATTAGAATTTTGTTCAGTCGGGTGAATCGATTGTGGTGGCATTAAAGGATAGGGGTAATACATCATCTGTTGAGGCGGACCACAGGGGTAACCAGTGTAGTAATTTGGAAGACAAAAAGGTTGAAAGTATTGCTGAATATTGATTGGATTATTTATTATAGGAGAGTAGGTTGCATGAGTTTGATGATGGATGAAATATTGATTAGAATTTTGATTCGCTTCCATTTTGTTGACGACAATTCAAATCCTATCCACCGAGGCTAGAATTTGACACGCAGAAAATTCAATCAACCCACCGAGGGAAAACTGAATAAGATTTCTTTTGAAAAAAAAATCTCAAAAAAAAGTTGTCAATCCGAAAACTATCCCACCGAGGAATAACTTTCAAGCTTATTTTGTTGTTGGTCTATCCAAAGACCTTCTAAACAAATCCAATAAATTTGGTCCACCGAGGGCCAATTGAAGAACAAAAAATTAAATAAAAATTAAAGTCAATTCGTAAATAAATTTTCTTCTTTTCACCCAAAGAACAACCTCTGCCTCAGGAGCGCCACGTAGTAAATAGAAATAAAACTCTCTCTCTTCTTTTCTCAAACAATTTAATAAACAAATACAAAATAAAATACTTTTACTTTTCCTTTTTAAATAAATAACAAAACTAAATGAACGAACATGTGGGGAAAAATAGGGTTTACATTAAATAAGGAAAGGTAATAATTGGATGGGGTCAAAATATGGGGAGAGAACGAAAGAAAAACATGTGCTGTTTCCTTTTAGCATCACAAAAATAAAAATTTTTTTGTAAAGTTAAGATTTGATAATGAAGAAAAACTAATTTAAATGGGAAGAAGTGTAAAAGTACCCGATTAATTTTAGGGATGCTTGTATTAGAACTACTACTTTAGGATTTGCATCCCATGAACTTTATCGTCCCATCAATGTAGAAAATGTGCGAAAATATGAGTCACAAATCGTCTATAGGCTTCCCAAATGCTCTCGATATGCTCGTAAAACTCAAATCCCAAATATCTTCCAATGCAAACCACATATCCACAAACCACAACCTCACATATCCCTCGATATTCTGTTAATCCTATAACCCCATTCTTAATTGCTCCTAATCTCTCTATATCCATTCATTGGGACTCAACTTTTCAGCATTGCAGGCGAAAATTTTGAGAATTTTAGATGGCCAAGGATCTGAATTCCTTCCAGGGTAATTTATGAGAATAATAAAAATCCTGACCCGTGCCGAACTCTACTGTTTGATTAAGGGACGCCATTCAATAAAACAAGGTAACTTTTTATTTAATAATAATACTTAAATTTTTTGTTTTGGTTTTCTCAATTTATTTATCAAGTTATTTATTATAATTCTTATCTATTTTTCTAAATTATTTTTTTGTCTAGTTATTTTCTAAATTATTTTTTTGCTTTATTTATTTAAAAAATTTTGATTCCTTTATTAATTTTAATCATTTAAAATTTTTATCTAAGGACTTTAACTATTTTATTTTTTAACATAAAAATTGTATACCTAAGCCTCCTTAATATTTAAAAAAATGTATTTTGTGATTGAACCAAAATAATTTTTCTTTACTTAATTTAAACGTTAGAAATAAATATTAACAAACTACAATTGCAAATTGATTACGTTCAATTCTTCTTATAAGTATTTTTGTAAATAATAAATAAAACTTTAAAAATCTCTATAGTCTTAGTTTTTGAATTTTCTTATAATTTTATATAATTTTATAAAAATTTCTTATAATTTTATGTTAAAATATTTTGGTTTTTTAATTAATGGAGATCAGTGATGAGACGGAATGAAAAAAGTCAGGTTGGGGTTGGGTCGAAATGATTATCTGTAATGGCTAAAATAATGAATTTCTTATTTCGAATCGAAATGTAAAACAAAAAATTAAGCCAACCCCACTGATCCGTGATAAAGATACAAAATTGATAGTGTTAGGCATTTTTTCATTCCGCATTTTTAAAAAAATTAATACGGAAAAGTAACTGTCATGGATGACTAAATTTCACCAAAATTTGAAAAAGACCCTTCCCCAAAATTTATAACGCAAAAAGACCCTTTTCTAATATCTGATATCTACGTATTTATTAATTTAATAATTACCTTAATAATTTAAAAATAAATATTAACTAATGATTTTAATTAATTTACATAATTTATACTTAAAATAAAAATGACAAATAATATTCACATAAATAATTCAATTCCTTCTAATTTAATTATTTCAAATAATTGTTGTGAAGAGGAAAACAAAAATAATTTTAATTTTGATAAATTTATTAACCCTAAATTAAAATTAAAATATATATTAGAATACAATTGGATTACTTTTGGTTATGTAATTAATGAATTAGCTAATGGAAGTATTGAATTTAGAAAAATTTTAGAAAATGGGAAAATTAATCTCTAAAAGGTTTTTAGGTTATATTTTTGAATAAAATTTATATGAAAAATTCTTTTTTGAGTAGTAAATAAAAAATAGCGGTACAAAACGAGATCTCGAATAAAAACTAAGCTATTGGAATACATATTTTTCGAAATACATATCTTGCACGGCCCTCCCAATACGGTCTCGCCTCTACGAATAACCCTTAGCAAAATTATGAGGATGACGTTAAAAATCATGTGGGGACAAAACATCTCTAATATTTCCGCATGATTCGATTATAAGGAAGCATAATCGGAAAATTAAGTAAAGTATGCAGAAAAAAAATTCTTGATGTTAAAAATAAAATTGGTGTCTTAAAATAAAATCTAAATTACTTAAATTTTGGAAATTCCGAAAGAATTCATGGTTTAAAAAAAACGGTACTATTATCCTTTCTAGATGGTCGACTTCCATAGGGGAAACGGCACCCAGCTATACATGTAAGAATCCATGGTCCGTTATTGTGGGTGTGTACCATAACTCTTGGTGAGTAGAACTCCATATTCCCAAAAAATTTTGTGGGAATCAAGTGAACCAATTGGAATAGAGCTCATATATGGGGGGGGGGACGGCAATAATGCTTCAAAAATTAATAGGATTTGCTAAAGCGATAATACATATTATTTAAGTGAGTCAAAAAATTAAAAATTTTAAAGATCGAAGCAAAAGACATAAATGATGGCAAAGGCTTTACTTCAAAATTATTTCGTTTAATAATTAATATAAAATATACCAATGGAATTAACAACAAAACGAAGAATTTTCCAAGCAAATTTTCTTTAATTCTAAAAATTTTTGCTGATGAGAGGATTGAAATACTTTTAGAACATTTTTTTGGGAAAGAAAGATTGGAAAAAGTTATGTTAAAATTTAAAGAAAAATTGGAAATAGAAAATAATAATAATGAAGAAATAAATGGTGAAATTAAAGATGCGAAAGTTAATCCTGCGATAAAGGTAAAAATTAAATATTTTAATTAGATAATTTAAATAATAAAATCTTTCAAATGTGCTAATCTCTTTGCGGACAGGCAGGGAACAAAACGGACATTTACCATATTTACCCATTAATTAACCCAGTAATTAAAGCCATAGCCGAAGCGTTCTAGTGCTTCCAGCCAGTGCCGAGTATGCTTAACTGAATTAGCTAAGAAGCCGGCTCCTCCGAAGCCAAATCCTACAAAAAAGGAAAAAAATTAAGAAGCCGGAGCTAAGAATTTGAAGACTCCGGTGCCTGACAAGATCCAAATGGATACGAAAGTACACGGTAGTACCTCAAGGCTAGGGTTCAGTAGAGCTATAACTTCGTTTAAAATAGCGAATCCGGGACGCCCTACATACATTGAAAAATATTTTTCTACTATTTAGGAATCAATGTCAATCTTTAAAAGAATGCATCAGAACGAATGTGTATTTTATAAAATGATGGATAATATTGAAAATCCGCCTTTGCCTATACCAAAAATTTATTTTACAAAAAATTGTAGAGAAGAGGAAAATAAAGAAGACGATAAGATTAATAAACTTGGACCACAAGGAGTGATTTTGATGGAGGATTTGACAGAAAATACACATATTACACCTTTAACTAAAGGATTAAATGAAATACAAGTGAATTGAATTTACCGTTATTTACTATAATAGAGCACCACTCTGAATTGGGACCTCATTTTGAGACTAGTTAAAAATAGGAGACGTCCAAAACGGCGCGCGGACATGCATAACTTGCTTCAAGATTTCCTACCAAATTTATTACTAAACGATTCCTCTCATCGAACTAAGGAGAATGGTACCAAAATTTACAAGGGCTAGTCATTTCTCAGCAAGTTTTTGGGCTGTACCCTTAAAAATAGAGCTCCACGTTGACTGGTAAATGTCCGCATTAAAAAAATAACTATAGATAATGGAAGTTATTAAATACTTGGCACATTTACATGCTTATTTGTCTTTACCAAAAATTAAAGAAAAATGGCAAAAGAATTTTGTAACGATAGAAGAAATGTGGGGGCAGAGTAGTGAAGAATTTGGTTCAGCAATGATTGAACAAATTATGGAACTTGATGGTTTTTAATTAAATTGTAATTTATAAAAAAATTTTATTAGAAGATATTGTGGAACCATTTAAAATAATTGGGAATATAGTTATGAAACCAGATTTTGTTAAATGGATAAAAGAAAAATGTGAAAATGATTATGGTATAGTACTTTTTATTTTTACAATTGCGGATAAGTTTACCCGGTTTTATGTCTCAATAATATTTTTGAAACTTTATTACAAATTTTTGAGTATAGAAATTAATTTTTAAGGTGTTTCTGAAATCCTTACACATGGGGATTTGTGGAATAATAATTTATTATGGTATAACAATAATCCAAACAGACTTGCAGCTTTTATAGATTGGCAATTGGCAACTATAGGTAAATAAAACTGAATTATTATCTGCAGTAATCTTCTATAATACATATATCAGAGATATAACCCAGATATAGGCTAATAAATTAAAAAAACCAATGGGGAAGCAAGTTATGTTTTTGAATTTAAAGATAAATCATAGTATTAGTTCTATTTTTCAACCCTCTCATGTTGTGTGGTCATATTAGAGACTGAGGTTCAAATAAAGACGTGTTTCTATTAGAATAAATACAGTATACATGTTCTCTATACGATCAGTAAACTCGATTTATGTCTCTTATAACTAGTGTTCGGCAAATGACCTTTTCCGGTATTCGGTATCGGTATACCGAAAAAATACCGATACCGAAAAATACCGTTTTTTACAAAAATTGACCGGTACGGTATCGGTATACCGGAAAAATACCGATACCGGAAAATACCGTCTCAACATTTTCGGTATACCGGCCGGTATTCGGTATTTTTTAAAAAATTTTATAAAATTTTTTAAATTTTATTTTTAAAATTTTAACAATAAATCTTAACAATCTCAAGGACTTGAGCTTCTTCTAATCGATCATAGGCAAGATTTGAATTAGCAAAATGTCCAACAATTGCTCGACATTTAGCTAATTGAAAATAAAATGCCCCCTCCATTAGAATACCCTGCTTTAATAGTATGTCCCCTGGAGGATGATTGAAAATAACTATGCCCCCACCATTAGAATACCCTCCTTTAATATAATGCCCCAGAAGGGTTTCTGCCCCAGAAGGGACGACAGATTTCTTTTTTTTTTTCAGCGCCGCAGGCGAAAATTTTGAAAATTTCACAAATACCGAAATACCGGAAAATACCGCGGTATTTTTTCGAGGACCGGTACGGTATCGGTATCGGTATACCGAAAAAATACCGATACCGAAAAATACCGTTTTTTTCAAAATTTGACCGGTACGGTATCGGTATCGGTATACCGGAAAAAAATACCGCGGTATACCGGGAAAAATACCGCGGTATACCGTACCGTGCCGAACACTACTTATAACGTGCTTCAGCGTTCGGATTAAAAAACTTTTTTGGAGATCAATGAAATAATTTTAGTCAAGATAATAAGCTAAAATAGAATAAATTAGTAAACCAACCAATTAAAAATCTAGATATTTGAGCTAACAATAAAAGAAATATTTTCAAAGGCAATCCGATGACTGATATATCTCGATTAATGTTGGCAACTGTAGAACCCGATCTACGTAAAAAGATTGAAAAGGAAGGGAAAATTTTAGAAATATATTTAAATGAATTAAATAAAAAATCGGTTGAACAAGGAATGGAAAAAGTAAATTATGGAATTGAAGAAGTATGTAATTAGAAAATTAAAAATATTTTTAAAAATTTTAACTTAAAATTCATATAGACTGGTTCTTAAATCTCTAAATAATGTTCACCGTCCCCCCTCTTTCATCTATTATGCCCCCTCCCACCTATTTACATCCTAAAACGAAGATTATTTTTGAAAAATTTGTTTTGGCCTTCCAAAGCTTGGCCCTCCACTACAATGGCTAGCCTCCCTGAAAATTATACCCAAGACTCTATCCGATACCGGACAATCATTATTAATTTCATAAAATTTTGTTATGAATCAGAAATTCATAAAAAATTTGGATATTGGATTAGAATATATGGTTCGAATTCTAATAACGGAGTCCAATTCGGATATCGATTAGAATATTGGTAACTTTCCCAAAATCCTCCAACATTAAAGAAAATATCTCTAATTTTTAAAGCTTCAACATGTTTACAATTTGGCAATTATTTCACAAGCTATTGGCAGGGTTATGGAAATTCCGTTTTTTGAAAGAGGAACACCAGAAAATGATCCAGAATTCAAAGAAAAAATGGAATGTATTAAAATTAGAGCAAAAAGTAGCATTAATGATGCTTTAAAAATTTTGGAAATGGAAGCACCTGAATGGCTAAATAAAAATGAGGAGAAAAATGGGAAAAATATTTGAACATTTTATGATAATAATTTTTATGAAAAACCTCAAATTTATATTTTTGTAAAGTTTGTATTAAATAGAGTTAAATAGGGATTTAAGGCGATTGAAGAATTTTGGACATAGTTGGCACATCAAGCATGATTTTCTCTTATAAGCGACTCCACACTTTTGCGTTATTAAGAGCAAAACCTTGCCCAAAAAATAAACCAAAATATTGGTTAATTGGACTCAAATCCGGCAACTACGGTGGCCATTATTAAGACATAAAATCGGGTAAATCGGACTTATCCACAATTTTAGAAATAAAAAAAATACCATAATAATTTTTACATTTTTCTTTCATCCATTTAACAAAATGTGGTTTCATAACTATATTCTAGAGTACGTCCGAGTCGGGTCGAGTACGAGTATACCCGACTCGATCTCTCGGCTTTTATACAACTTTACTCGTACTCGATACTCGGGGTCTTAGTACTCGGCATTACACGTACTTAACCTAAATTTAAAAAATATTCGAAAAGATTTTTTTCCGAATTGTAGAAATATTATTATCTCGTAAACTAAATTTAAAAAATATTCGAAAAGATTTTTTTCCGAATTGTAGAAATATTATTATCTCGTAACCTAAATTTGAAAAATATTCGAAGATTTTTTTTCGAATTGTAGAAATATTATTAGCTCGTAACCTAAATTTAAAAAATATTCGAAAAGATTTTTTCCGAATTGTAGAAATATTATTAGCTCGTAACCTAAATTTAAAAAATATTCGAAAAGATTTTTTTCCGAATTGTAGAAATATTATTAGCTCGTAACCTAAATTTAAAAAATATTCGAAAAGATTTTTTTCCGAATTGTAGAAATATTATTATCTCGTAAACTAAATTTAAAAAATATTCGAAAAGATTTTTTTCCGAATTGTAGAAATATTATTATCTCGTAACCTAAATTTGAAAAATATTCGAAGATTTTTTTTCGAATTGTAGAAATATTATTAGCTCGTAACCTAAATTTAAAAAATATTCGAAAAGATTTTTTCCGAATTGTAGAAATATTATTATCTCGTAACCTAAATTTGAAAAATATTCGAAGATTTTTTTTCGAATTGTAGAAATATTATTAGCTCGTAACCTAAATTTAAAAAATATTCGAAAAGATTTTTTCCGAATTGTAGAAATATTATTAGCTCGTAACCTAAATTTAAAAAATATTCGAAAAGATTTTTTTCCGAATTGTAGAAATATTATTAGCTCGTAACCTAAATTTAAAAAATATTCGAAAAGATTTTTTTCCGAATTGTAGAAATATTATTATCTCGTAAACTAAATTTAAAAAATATTCGAAAAGATTTTTTTCCGAATTGTAGAAATATTATTATCTCGTAACCTAAATTTGAAAAATATTCGAAGATTTTTTTTCGAATTGTAGAAATATTATTAGCTCGTAACCTAAATTTAAAAAATATTCGAAAAGATTTTTTTCCGAATTGTAGAAATATTATTAGCTCGTAACCTAAATTTAAAAAATATTCGAAAAGATTTTTTTCCGAATTGTAGAAATATTATTAGCTCGTAACCTAAATTTAAAAAATATTCGAAAAGATTTTTTTCCGAATTGTAGAAATATTATTAGCTCGTAACCTAAATTTAAAAAATATTCGAAAAGATTTTTTTCCGAATTGTAGAAATATTATTAGCTCGTAACCTAAATTTAAAAAATATTCGAAAAGATTTTTTTCCGAATTGTAGAAATATTATTAGCTCGTAACCTAAATTTAAAAAATATTCGAAAAGATTTTTTTCCGAATTGTAGAAATATTATTAGCTCGTAAACTAAATTTAAAAAATATTCGAAAAGATTTTTTTCCGAATTGTAGAAATATTATTAGCTCGTAACCTAAATTTAAAAAATATTCGAAAAGATTTGTTGTGTCCGCACTTGCAGAAAGAACATAAATGAAAATAAATAACCCAGCATCAGGTTGGATGGTGGCACAGTCGGTTGTGCTTTCGGTTTGGGCTCTTTCCGTGATGGTTCTATTCCATCTCCCATCCACACTTTTTCCACAGCATGAACATCGGACATGACAAATGGCGCGGTCGGACAGGCCAGGCTTAGCCTGAGGAAATTTCAGCGAACCTTCAAATGCTGTGATGATCTGACATTCTGTCACTGTGGAGATAAAAAAGGAGAAGACCCTGTGAGAAATTAAGAAAAAAATGCCTGAGTTGTGATAGGCTAGCCGGTGTTGCGAGGCTAATATAATATAAAAATGCGTAAGGCGCATGAAGCACAGCATATGCCACAAAATGGGTTTCTGTGTGTGCTCTCCAAAAAATCGAAACAGATGATAGTTATAGAAGACAAGCAACAAGCGAGGACGCTTGGATCGCAAGGCGGAAGGAGTGTTGTGTCCGCACTTGCAGAAAGAACATAAATGAAAATAAATAACCCAGCATCAGGTTGAATGGTGGCACAGTCGGTTGTGCTTTCGGTTTGGGCTCTTTCCGTGATGGTTCTATTCCATCTCCCATCCACAATTTTTCCACAGCATGAACATCGTAATGTCCCCGGCCTTATATATATTTAATTTGAACTCTCTCAACTAAATGAGGAATTAAATAAACCAACTAATAAATTAAATCTTTTATTTACAAAAGACTAGTTCAAACTAAGACAAAAATTAGAAATAGAAAAAGCTATTTATATATAAGTGACAAAGGGCGGGAAGTAAAGAAAGGTTAATTATTTACAAGTTTGATACATAGACAAATGTAGGTTAAGGAAAAGGTTGATAAAAAACATTAAAGAGAAATAAATTCAAATAATGTTTTGGGGAAATGTTGTAAATGATAAAAGGAAAAGAAACATTTGAAATATGTTTTGGGGGAATAGTTTAAATAAAAAGGGGAAAACATTAAATTAAATAAAAAGAACATTTTAAAAATTAATAACAAATAATCTCAAAATCTGGATCTAACACTCCTTCCTCCATCAAAGATTCTTCTCCTGAAGAATGATCATCACCAACATGTTGAA